ATATATAAAGTATATATATATATGCATATATAAAACTGGGCATTAAACACTTCTACCTGAATGTTGACAGGCATCGCAGACTTCACCCCTACACACAGGACTCCCAGTCCTGCTCGGCCCTCTTGCACCCACAACTCTCCAGTCTCGACTGGCTCAGCTGATGGTAACGTGAGTTACCATCTTTGGAGTTAACTGCTCCTCCTTTCCTTCTCTCCGCTCTTATACCCAGCTTGTAAGAAGACCCCTTGAGCTCTGTCTTCAGAACAGCCCCAGAATCTGGCACGAGCATCCCCCCCTGTCATCACTGGGGTCCTCATATTGTGTCTTAGCTACGCCAGTGTCTACTTCTGCTCTGGTTCTCCCCTTGGCCTCTTTCGATCTATGTCCGTGTACACAGTCATCAAAACAATCGCTTGTGAAACCCTTCAGTGGCTTTTCTGTTTATTCTGTGCAAAGGTCAAGTGTCTAGCAAGGTCACAGTCTGGCCTCATCTCCTCTCTGACATAGAATGTGGCACCCTTCCTCATTCTGATACTGTGTCAGGCATCTGGGACGGCTTCAGTCACTAGGCTTTTCCTTGTTACTCTTCTGCCTCACTAACTCACCTACTCACTCTCCAGCTGTCAACATGGCTGGCCCTTCATCTCCCACCTCTCTGTCCTCAGTAGCTACCCTTGCAAACAAGTCTTCCTTGACTTTCCTGTTTATGACCTCAATATCTGTGATGTGACATTCCATACCCCCCTCTTCTGTTTTGTTTTCCTCAATGGCATCTAACAAAGCACATTTGATATCTACCAATTTTCTTCCTTTTAGAATCTAAGTGAGGTTCACCCAGCATCTGGAATGGTCCTTCTGTGTGCACAGTAGGACTTGGACATCTGTTTGTTTAATGAATGGATAAACATACAAGGAAATGGTCCAAGGATGCCGATTGTTTGAGCCTTCCCACAAGAGGGCACAGAGGTTCAGAGGTTCAACCAATGGCTCCTCTGCCTGAAAAATTTGCCTTTACAGTTTCCCAGGCTGGGGCTGGTGACTTCGGGAGGTGGAGGGGTTGGCTCTGTGCTCAGGATGGGTGTTCAATTTAGAGACTGTCCTGAAGGGCTATTAATCGCAGGCAATCGTGAGTCAGGGCGGTGTAGGTAGGGCTGGACGGCAGCTGAAGAGAAAAGCTGAGCTGGGCCTCAACTGAGAGAGGAGGGAGGGACAGGGTTGCAGTTTGCTTTTGGAACTTTCCTAGTTCAAAGAGGAACTCTCAGACGGAGACATCCAGTCTGCTACGTGGAGGTGTGTCAAGTGTGAGCAAAAGTGAGGGCAGGATAGAAGCTTATCCAAATTTAATGATGGGACTATATGAAGTTAAAGGTTTCTAGGGAGCAAATCTAATGCTTTTTCTTAGAAAACCCGAATACATTCTTAGCGTTCATTCTTAGCGGTTACTTTTTTAGTGTGGTGCTTACCTATGTGCCACTTCATTCGGATTCTACGATGTCATCCACTGAGCTAAGTGTGAGCCTACAAGGACTCTTCAGTGTGCACACGGCGTGCAGCAAGAAGCTATGGTCTCGTGCATTGGGCCACGGACACATGTTCTGAATATAGAGGAAAGGCTCTCCACGGCAGGCTTTGGGACACTCGTGGATCTGCAAAGGAAAATGCCACTGGGGCTCCCTTACAGGTCCCACTGTGTGGTAGTCTGAACGAGAAGGGTCTCCATAGGCTCATGTATATGAATGCTTAGTCACCAGCGAGAGACACGATTTGAGAAGATTAGAAGGATTAGGGGGTGTGACCTTGTTAGAAGTGTGTTACTGGGGTGGGCTTTGAGGTTTCAGAAACTCATGCCAGGCCCAGAGTCTGTCTCCCTCTCCCTCTCCCTCTCCCTCTCCCTCTCCCTCTCTCTCTCTCTGCCCATGGATCATGATACAGCTCTCAGCGACTGCTGCAGTGCTTGTCTGCACGCATGCTGGCATGCTCCCTGCCATGCACGCATGCTGGCACGCTCCCTGCCATGATGGTAATGGACTAAACTTCTGAAACTTGAAGCAAGCCCCCAAATAAATGGTTTCCTTCATTAAGAGCTGCCTTGGTCATGGCGCCTCTTCACAGCAATAGAACAGTGACTAAGACACACTAGAGAGATGCTGAAGAGCTATGTTACTATTACTATAAACTCATGTTAACCAAGGGAAACCGCTGTATCTACTTATAACTGAAGATTCCAGGAACACAAACAAGGAGAAGGTTTTAGTAGTTTAAGTCTAAGATGTCCCCCAAGGCACAGTTGAAGTTGTGGTTTCCAATGCAGCAATGTTTGGAGGTAATTGGATCATGGAGGGATCCTAAGCTCATCAATGAATGAACCCATGATGAATGGATACTCCTCTGAAGGACCACTGTGAGGGGTGGGAACTACAGAAGGCAGGACCGCGTTGGAGGAAGGATGTATATTGCTCGGTTCTTTATCTACTCTCTCTGCTCCATGGTCATTATCAGGCGAACAACTCTGCTCTCTGGTGTCCTTCTGCCATGGTGCTCTATGTCACCTCGGCCCAGAAACTACATAACTAGGTGATTATGGGTTGATGCAGTGAACCAAAAGAATTCTTCTGTCTTTAAGCTGCTCTTCTTAGGTTTTTTCTTTTTTTCCAGTGACAGAGAGCTGAGAAACTCACGAATGTAGACGATACTGGGACTAGAGAAACAAACGTCACTTTACGGGGCCAGAAGCAACAAGACCAATACATAGCCAAGACGCTCTTTACTAACACAATCAGAAAGTCAAGTAGACTTTCACTGGATGTCCATGTGGCGGCAGTCAGCGTCCTCTTACTGTGAACAGATTGAGCAATGCCCTAGAAAGAAGCATTTGTATCAAGGGTTTGATTGGAGGAGAAACTTCCGGTTTCAGAACATTTATTTATAGCTTGACTTCCTTTACATTTTACTGGATATGCATTATATTTTGATAAATAATTTAAGGGCTTCAGAATGTTAAGAGGTTCTTAAAAGTAAGAACCTGGCTCAGAAAGATTAAGCAGACCAGGATTTAAGTTATGATTGGAAACAGGCTGGGACTTAGGGTATTCTAGGAAGCATGAGGCGGGGCTAACATATCACTGAGGAAAGACTCATGACATAAAGTAGGATTCTCATTTGTGTGTACAGGATTTTCATTTGTGTGTACATTTTAATCCCTACTGTTTGGAAATGAGTAATGCACACACAAACTGGCTCTCAAACAGAGAACACTAATAAATACACACCGAGCATCACTTCCTGAGACTACTCTGAATTACTGGAAGTTCTGTCAACAGTTCCAGAGAATTCTAGAGTTGGAGTAAGGAGAGAAGGTGTTCTTACTCCTACATGGAGAAGAAAGAAAGACTTACATCTGACAAATGGCCTGCTACAGGATGGGCTGGATTTAAGGCTTTGGCATTTATGATCTCGGCTAATCCTGGTGGCAACTCACTGGTTGCTATGCCTCCATTCGGTTCAACTGGGAAATGTCCACCCTGCTCAGGACCATTCCACAGCTGCCATTGCTCTGTCTTCTCTTGCTACTTGCTGCCTAAGGGTTTGCTCCCTGACTTGACCCTAGTTACTCCATCTTTGAATGGTTTATTCTTGTACAAGAAATGTGAATGGAGCAACCGATGGTGACTCTGAAAGGATGGCCTTTGTGAAGGTATTTCAAACTTAGGGGGTCCACTGGCTGGTCATTCTGCTCTGTGCAGGCAGTCACAAATGCTGTCTGGCAAGGGACTGGACTCTTGTGTGCCTTCCATTCCACACGTCTTGTTTCTCGTGCTGTAGACTGAACGTGCTAGGCAAGTGCTCCACCACTGAGCTGCACCTCTACCCCTTTCTGCCTGTTTCTTCCCTGTTTGATTCGGAGGAGACCTGGTGGTACACGTGGTCACACCACCACTCCCTACTGTTTAACATGTAACCATCGACTCACTAACATTGTTCTGTGTTTCTGAAGGCATCTAGGCTTGAGAGCCTGGAACTGAGTGGTAGTTCTCATTGTTAACTCCTGATTTAGGTCTTGGACATCTCGTGAAACTGCTGGGAAGCGGAGGAGGTGACCCTGGACCTCGTTCATGAGGGCGAGGACGTGAACTGTGTCTCTGTGGGCCATGCAATACCCAGCTGCCAATGGCTGCTCATGACTCTGAGTTGTACACCGTGCTGGTGGTACACAGAGAATACTCTGTCCCACACGCAAAGTTCAAGGGTGCACAGCATTCTCCCCAGTCTTCTAAAAATGTGGGGACTCAGAACGATCGAGGAGTCATAAACAATTTGAAGAGTGATCAATTTAATGGTCTGCCATTGTGAAGCCCATCTTCTGGGTCCCTTGCCTCTCAACCACTGTCATCTTTACACACAGTAAGCCAGACTATTCATGTCCCCAAAGTACCAAAATGACTGTCTTTACCAAAGCAGTTAAGAAACCTGAGTAGGGGATATTTTCAATACTGATGAGAAAAGCAAATTGACACTTCTTAGAATCTCACTGCATTAATGGTGAGAACTGCTGGTGGCTTTTTTTTTTTTTTTTAATTCTTAAGCAAGGAAGGTCCTGTGAATTCTTTCGCTGTTTTATTCTCAGGGGAAATCTAATGATCCATTTGAAAGAGAGAAGATATAGCCGTGATTCAAATCCTACACAGAGGACTGCATCAGACTGAGGCTCAACCGTTTGAACCCCAAAATTTAAGTGAAGTAGAAACTGTGAGGGCCTGGGCCCCAGGTGAGGCTCTTTTCCCTTAAAGCAGCACGCTCACTTTGCATTCGTGCTTCTGAGGGCACAGGTGCATCACACAGAAACTGACTATCCTACAAGACAACATGGGGGTGACGTGGACACCAACGTGGCATCGTGCGCATGTAACCTCTACCGCCTCCTTTGCCAGTTTTTTTTTTTTTTAAAAATAAGTCAACAAACCTCCTGTAACAACCACACAAAACACATCAAGTAGCCGTACCTCTTCAGGCAAGCTGACCACCAGGTCATCTTTTGTCTGTCCGACCAGGGCTTGCCAGAAGTATTCGCTGCACGCGGCCAGCACGGCCCGGTGGGCTCGGAACTCCTTCCTCTCCACGATCAGAGTCACATCACAGAGGATGTCCTTTTTCCGTTGGTCATTGAGGCCGAGGAGGATGTTGGCACAGTGGACTGTGGACTCATACACATACATGGGGGAGTCAGGCTTCTCATCCACAGACATGCCGTTCAAACCCTGGAAGAGAGAAAGGCTGGGTCAGTGTCCCGTAAGTGACAGAGAAGGTAAGGAGGACCGTCATGGCTCCTAGGCCCCCCAGTCAGGAGCCAGGAAGAGGGGAAAGGGCTGCTGAGCAGCACAGCCATTCTGGGTTGGCATAACAAAGTCAGATACACCCGGAAGGCTGCAATCTATTGCTTCTCTCCATTCAACTACATTTCTTTACCCTGCATCTTTTAATGGAACACCTTGACACTGGGTAGTTTTGATTTCATTAGGAGGCTAAAATGGAATTTGTGTGTATAGTCTAACTACTAATTGAGATTTGTGTTAAAAGGGAACAAACCATTCTGAAGTCTTTGAGATGCTGTTTTGGTGAAATACATGCAACTTCCTAAGTCGAAATTTGGCAAAGATGCTAAGTAGACTACATATTACATCATGAGCTATGAGTCAATGGATGCATTAACGTGTAGATGTAGTCTGCTATTCCATCCACCCTTTACCCTTCACAGGAGAGGGTGAGCAATACACCATGGCAGCCATTCCTGTCTCAGATATGTAATAATGCTTTCACTGTCTCAGAGGACCTAATGCACATCTTTAAGGAAACAACATTGCAATAGGAACCATGAGAAAAGATACATTCGGAATAAGATTTACAAAGACCCCCTTTGCTTTAAAAAGTAGCCTGGGAGTAATTTTAAAATGCACTGTTCACAACTAAATCAAAGGTTGGGTTTTCAGGAAGGCCTACTACCAGCATAAACCCCAGTAGCAAGTCCTTCTTTCCCCTGTCTTTAATTTTGCTTTTGAAAACAGCTTTAGTATATTATGCTTAAATATTTGGAGTATGCAATTGCCATCTGACATGTGTATGCAACTGGGAAGCCGTCAATGCGATCAAGATGAACATACCATCAGCACCCAAAGTCCGCGGTAGCCCTTACACCTGTCAGGGGCCCTGCACCCACTGCTCAGCTTTCTGACGTCTGCTGGCCTCTTCTAGAGCTTTGTTTAAACGGAATAATGTGCTACTCTGTCTGAATTATCTTACTCAGAACAATTATTTTGTCATCTACTCATGCTGCTGGATATAGCAAAGGTTTGTTCCTCCTTCCATTATGTTGGTAAGAACGTAAACTAGTGCAGTCACTATAGAAACCAGCGTGGAGGTGTGTCGGAGAGCTGAAGGTAGGCTACTCATATGATACAGGCATGCAACTCTAAGGCATACACCTACATGAGTTTAAGCTGACTACAGAGATACCTGCACATCTGTATTTATTGCAGCACAGTCGAAATAGCCAGGAAATGGAAAGAAGTAGCCTAGATGCCAATATACAGACTAATGAATCCAGAAAATGCCGTGCACATGCACAACAGAGTTTCATTCAGTTTTAAAGAAGACCTGAGTCATTATTAGCAGGAAAATGTGTGGAACTGGAACGTGAAATTAGGTACAATTGGAAAGACAAATGTTGCGCGTGTTATGTGCAAAATCTCGATCTAAACATGAAATTAGAAGGAGTCTATATTAAAAGAGAACAAGAGAAAATAATAGGGGAAGATAAAATAACTCATTTTCTTTCATATGCAGAATCTAGAATTAAATACACACTCATGCACACACATACACCAGGCAAGCGGTGGTGGAGGACAGAGGAACAGGTGAGGGTAGTGGGATGAAAAATTAGCAAAGTGTATGATATCTGTCTATGAAAATATCATGTTAGAGAGGAGAGAGATGGGAGGGTGGGGCGGAGGAGGCAGGGATCAGTAACACTAAACATTTTAGAAAAGGCCATATGGAAATCTGCTGTTTTTTTAAGCTTCCTAAACATATAAACATGTTTAACTCGAGGTATCCCACACAGGAGACTATACTCCTCCCAGAAGCCATAAGATGCCAAATAACCCCATTACCAGGTGTGGGATACCTCGAGTTAAACATGTTTATATGCTTACTAGAGGTGCCAGAAACTCCTAAAACAGTATAGGATTTTGCTATTGGTCTTGCCTGTTCACCAAAACCTTACATTGAAGATACCATACACCTTTGTCATAGGACATGACAAAATCAAGTTAGTACTGAGCAGGAAGTTTTCTCTCAGCTGTTAGCACTTATGGTCCTGGAGGTGCTACGTAGGCTGCTGGGAGAAAGTGTCATCAACAGCCTGTGAACCCTGCGAATTACAATATTAACTGGCATGGCAAGATACTCCCATGGGTGCAATAGTGGCACAAATATTATAGGGTGATCAATCACTTTGTGATGGAATTTAAGGCTTTTTGTTCAGGAGAAAACAAATGCCTGGTACTGTAAATCTGGCCAAGAACCTATAGTTAGGGAATGCCTAGGCCCCAGAGGGGAATCTGCTACTATCACCCTGCAAAATGGACTGCCCTCTAGATTCTTATCTCTACACATAGATTAGTGCAGCTTTCAAACCTCATCAGAGAAGTTTCTCTGTGCAGTGAATTGTAGCTAAATACAGAAACTTACGGCTGGTTAAAGTACAGAGAATAAAAGTCATGGAACGCTCAGAACAAAGGAGACCACTGTGTTAAAGTTCTCTGAAAGGTTTAGGGTTGATGGTGGAAGAGGGACAGAAAGATTCTAAGAGACAGAAGTTGGGGATAATCAGAGCAAAACAATGTTGGATGTTTAGTGTGTTGGTTACAAGTTGTTATGGATAATGGTGAGGAAAAAAGCTAAACAAAGGAGATTAGATTCAGGGTCTAGTTTTGAAAAGAAAAAAAGGGGGAAATGCTGTGGGATAATGCTCTTGTACACTGTAAAGACTTGTCATGCAGTTTAATAAAATGTTGTTTGGCCAGTAGCCAGGCAGGAAGTATAGGTGGGACAACCAGACTAGGAGAATTCTGGGAAGAGGAAAGGCAGAGACACAACTGTCATCTAGAAGCAGAGGAAGCAAGATGAGAATGCCTTACTGATAAAGGTACCAAGCCACATGGCTAAACATAAATAAGAATTATGGGTTAATTTAAATTGTAATAGGTAGTTAGTAACAAGTTCGAACGATAGGTCAAACAGTTTATAATTAATATGAGCCTTTGTGTGTTTATTTGGGACTGAATGGCTGTGGGACCAGGAGGGACAGAAAGTTCTGTCTACAAGTGTTCCGGCAGGGCTTGGCAGGACTGATACACTCATGGACTGACAGCGGCAGGGGCTGTACAAGATCCGTACAAGATCAAGCCAATCAACATTAAGCACAGAGACAGAAAGGGTTCATGAGCCTCCACCCATAAATGAGGAGCTGGGGCAGTTGATCACTCCTTGGGTAGGGAAAGCCAGTTTTATTTAAGTGTGTGGTTTCTGGTAAGTCCATGGAAGTTCCAGTAGATGGCCACACAGCATGAGTACATGAGTGAGTGGGCAGCACAAACTGAATTTGATGGGTGGAAGGACGGGAGGGAGGGAGAAGAGGGGGGCACATGGTTTAGGAGGTAGGGAGGTAGAAATGGATCTGGGAGGAGTTAGGGGAAAGAGTGGGAACGAGTATGATAAAAAAATACACTGTATGAAATGATCAAAAATAAAAATAATAGAAAGTAAATACCACAGGCAAAATCCATTACTTTGTATGCCAACTAAAATTTAGTAAAATAGGAGAGTTTGTTGTGTTATTGCTGAATTGTATTTGCTGCATTTACAAGTTTTTGGCCATCCATAGCTACTGGTGGATAACTGGACTGTTTCCAGTTTGGGACTACTATAACTAACACTGCTGGGAATATCAGTGCTTAAGACTTCCTATGGACAGGTACCTGAGCTTCTTCCTCAGAAGAAGGATGGATCACAGGGCACATATAAGTTTAAGGTTTTAAGAAACTGACACTGTTTTCTCACACATCTGTATCATCTTACGTTTCCCTATTGGTTCTTGATATTCCTGCCAACACTGTGCATCCTTGTAGCTGCACCTGATACCTTCCTGGAACTCACTCTGTAGACCAGCTTGGCCTCGACCTCAGAGATCTGCCTGCCTCTGCCTCCTGAGGGCTGGGATTAAAGGTGTGTACCACCATGCTAAATTTAACTCTTGAAGCAGGGTCCTGCTTTATAGCCCAGGCTAGTTTTCAACACTAGATCCTTCTACCTCTCTGCCTTATGAGTGTTGGGAATATATGCGACAGATGTGAGACACTTTCCATTTCAAATCAGGTTGTTTGTTTCTTGCTGTGGATTCTTGAGAGTTCTGGCTGCTATCAACAGTCTTTCATGTGACAGGTTAATGTTTCCCTCCAGTCAGCCATGGCTGTCTTCTTCTCTTAATATTTATTCTTAAAGTTTTCACTTGATAAAACCCAATTATGTAACTTTTAAGAAATATATTGTACTTCTCTGGTATCAAATCTAAAATAAAGTTTTAGTGTTCTATGAATATTAATATATTTTCAGATTTATACCTAAGCATCCAAATATTATTTTAAAGTGTCAACTTGATTTTTCATTGTTAATATATAAATAATTTTATATTTGATGATGAAGATCAAGCTCAGAGCCTCTTGCTAGAATTCTAGGCAAATATTTCAATACTTAGCTACACTGCACATTATACAAGAAACAATTTTGTGTAAAGATTTTGTATCCTGAAACCTTGCCTAATTCTCATGCCTTGTTCTCATGGCCTTTCCTGAAGCTTCTATAACATTTATACAGTGAAGATAACGCTGTCTGTAAATAAAACATCAACTCCTTTTTAAACTGGATGCTTTGTGCAGTTTTGTGACTGACCATGCTGCCAGTGGCTCTGCTGTAACACTGAACAGAGGTGATGAGAACCAAAACCCCTGCCTTGCTGAGGTTGGGGGAAACAGCATTTCACCAGGATGCTCTTGCTGTGGGATGAGGTCTCCACCCATTCCACATCCTTTCACTCACAATTGCTTCAACTAAGAACCTGACTTAGAATCCCAGCCCTGGGGAGGCTGAGGCAACACCACAATTTTGAGGCTAGCCTCCGTCACACAGCAAGCACCTTCAGAGA